GTACACAATTACTCAGGTTTGAGATGCAGCTGTTATAAGCTATGTATATGTGGTAGCTAGAGTTTACAACTACAATGCTTATTCCTGTGTAGCATCACTATCCAATTGAACCATTGCCATGAGTGATTCCAAAGCTCTATTTAGTTGCTTAGAAGCTCATGACTTCCTCACACAGAAAATATTTTTCTCTTTCTGTTATGACTTTTGATATTTTGTTTTGAGTGAATGCTCACTTTGAAGTGAATTTTGGAAATCCATCTTGCAATATAACAAATTAAGCATTTTTGCAAAGAGCATTTCTGGACAAAAAGATAACTGTTCCCAGCTGTTACGATTGTCTTTATGATATGAAGTGTGAATTTATCACTGATAAAGTGTTTGTGGTATAGAATGGAAAAACTTAAGATTAGAAGGCTAATATTTTAGAGAGTTAACTCTGTGGAAAGGGATCATGACTTAGAATGACAGCAGTGAAAAGGGATTTAACACTAAATTGCTTTTAATGTTAGTTCAGGTTTCTTGATTTCTGTAACCCTATCTAGCAATGGCTTAATACTTTACAGAATAACTTCCTGCATGGTCTGATGTTTCATGAATTGAATGGTTCTGATAGAAAAGCATATGGAGAAATTGTCTTGGTTTCCCTCTTGGCCTCCTATTGATATAGGAAGCAGGATAAATTGTGTGAGGAAAAGATTTGCACTTTGGGGTGAAATGCTGTTGCTCAGAAATAAATGTTAAAATATCACCTGGCAATATGGTACATCTGGTTATTAGAAGTTTTGGGATCATAAAGAGCTTCAGAAGACAGAGAGCAGACTACTGTGGCATACTCTGTGGGCAAGAATGTTTTACCTTGAGTGAGCTACAGCTTGAATGCCTTTGCTGATTGCACAGAGGGAGAAAAGCAATCTGTTAAATAATTATATCCAAGCTGCCTAGCATCTTATACATGAAGATGAACATCTTGAACTCAACCAGAAAAAAAATTATTAGAAGCAGTGCAAATTACAGAGCAGAGTGCAATGTGCTCCCAGCATTGAAGCAGAGTTTAATAAGCAAGCACTAGTATTCTGCACTAACTTCAGCTCCCAAGTGGTCCTAACAGTATACAACATTAAGTTAATTTTGAGCTGAGAAGGTTGTAAATAACCATAGCAAAGTCTGCACTGAAAGAAAACATTGGCTACTTCTCATTAAATGCAGAAGAAAACAAGTATTTCTGGCCACAGTTATATTAGTTACTGATTACCGGTGAGTCCGTATCCTCCTAAGCAAGCTGTCATACATCCTGCTGCTCTATCAACATTGATTTAATAAGGGTTTGAGTGAGGGATCATGGGAAATGATTATAGTAAGTAGAGGGGAGAGACAAATTCTGAACTGGTTTCAGTCTACCACATCCCCCATCTTATAATGTACATTTTTAGTGAATAGTCTTTTTCACCTGCTAATCCCAGTAGAAAGAGATTCTTTGGTCCAATATTTTTGTTCTGTTTCTTGGTACCAAGTTCCATGTTTGAGCTTTCAACTAGGAGCACTGGGGATCATGGATTTCTGAGGTTCCTCTCTGGCAGGCTGTCCCCGCTCCACCCATACCTCAGGGAAGCAAAATGCATGCTCATAGTCTCTCTACAGCTTCCAACAAAAACAGAGTTGAGTGGCTGTGTAAGCAATGTGTGTTTGCAGCTAAGGCTATGTCTAGACTGCAGGCTTCTTTTGGAAGAAGCTTTTCTGGAAGAGATCTTCCAAAAAAAACTTATTTCAAAAAAGAGCATCCACACAGCAAAAGCACATCAAAAAAGTGATCTGCTTTTTCGAAAGATAGCATACACATTGATTGGACACTATCTCTCCTTTTAGTTGTGATTACTATGGATGGAGTGGCTACTAGGGCACCTGTGCTTTTTCCTGGAGGCCTCCTCTTTCGGGGAAAAAAATCCCGCTTCCCCGTCCACACACACCTTTTTCCAAAAGAGCTCTTTCAGAAAAAGGCTTCTTCCTCATAGAAAGAGGTTTACCACTATTGGAAAAAAAACCCTCGTAGAAAGAGGTTTACCACTATTGGGAAAAAAAAACTGTTCTTTCGAATTTCTGTCAAAAGAACACAGTTGCAGTGTGGATGTAAGTGTAGTTTTTCCAGAAAAACTCTGGAGTGTAGGCATACCCTGAGTGATTCCCTCTTCAAGGTGTTTGTAATATTCAGTGCCTATGAAGCCTGGCATTTGGAAATCTCTTGCACTCTGTGCTTGGTTAAATGAGAACCTGGGTGTAGTTGAATACTATTTATTTGGTTTATTTCTCAAGTAAGTCCCCAAGGGTATGTCTACGCTACAGCACTAATTCGAACTAACTTAATTCGAATTAGTTAATTCGAACTAAGCTAATTCGAACTAGTGCATCTAGACCTAAAAACTAGTTCGAATTAGCGTTTTGCTAATTCGAACTAGCATGTCCACATTGAGTGGACCCTGAACCGAGGTTAAGGCTGGCCGGAAGCAGTGCTG